CTACTGCTACTGCTACTACTACTGCGACTACGACTGCGACTACGACTACGACTACGACGACGACGACGACGACGACGACTACTACTACTAATACTGCTACCACTTCCACCACCACTACCACTACGACTGCGACTACTACTTCTACTACTACCACCAGCTGGATGACAAAGCGACTGCCGGCAATCTCACTACCACCCCCCGAAAGGGGGGTGGATCGGTGGATGGAACAAGGAGACCCAAGTCTTGGTTATGTGGAATTTCCAGGCTTGCCGACGATCACCGGAATCCTTTGCTCTCAAGCGGTCTGACCGCAAACTCTCACCGCACAACTGCACTCACAGACTGCCCCACAGTGTTTCACACAGGAACTTTGCAGAACATGTGCAAAGCGGTCACAGTCGTAGCAAGCACTGGAATTGACAACGCTAACAATGTGTTTCGGCAGGGACAAGCTGATTTTCACGGGCGACACCAGCCGAGCAGTTGTTCTCCAAAGCAGCGCAATCACCTGCATCGACACGGGGAGGCCAGCAGAACTACGGTGATTAAGGCAGACCATAGCCCCCAGCTCCCAGAACGAGGGCCCGTATGTATGTCGGTCACTCATGCTCACCGCTCACTCGTGTCGAATCCAAAGTCCTCAACTTCCAAAGTCTGTAAAGCCAAGCAGCACGTAAACCAAGGAAGAACCTGTGGCACCTTCGCTGTTTCTTGCCGTGCCCTCCGGAGGAAAATCAGAAGCTGGCGTCCAAGACTCTGTACACTTCCCCACGCTGCTTCAGGTGGCTGCACGACAGGTGTGCAGCTGTACATCCGCATTGGGCTCTGGCTACTACCGTTGCTATTCATAAGCCGCGTGGCCGGCTCAGCTCCTTATAATTAAGGTGAGCAAAGCTTTTTGGCAGCAAGTCGTGAGGGTGTACACCCTCAGAGCTCAAGCTCGAAGTGAAACAAATCTTCAGGCAGCACAGACTACACAGATACCAGTACATGGCGGCATTCCACCCAATCAACACCATGCTCAACATTCCCGTCATCCAGGTATTGCATGTCAACTTTCAGAATATTGTCTTGCGTCACTTTCAAGACTTTGGCAGGAAACCAAAAGCTGTCGATCCTCCTCTCTATAAGCATGCCTGGGTTAATGCCAGCAATGCCGAAGCCCTCCACTGGTGACTTGGGCTCCGCTTCCGGGAGCTCCCCCGGCGCTTCACTGGCACAGTTTGGGAGAAGATAAACCGTGGATGTGTTTGCAATACCGTAGAAGTCGAGAGTTTCCTCATCACGAAGTTCAACGCCGCCATGGAGCAATCGCATCAGTGCAGGTAGCAGCTCAAGCTTCGGCTGGAGTGCCAGCTTGAGCTTGAGGACCGTGTCGAAACTTTGACAAGGAATAATCAGCTCACCACCTACCAAGTTGACAACCCTCAAGCCAGGCTCTCTGCGATTTTCGCTGGTCCGGCCACTGGCTCCGCCTTGAGATAACTCAATCGCATACAGAACAGCGGTGCCCCTGGCCATGGGGCCCACCCCCAGGGACTTCAGAGTCCTATCGTCTGGCAGCGCGAGGCCCTGGAAAATTAGCTTTACAGCCTCCAGCTCCATCTTCCGCAGCGCACAGAGTCGAGCTTTCAGATCTCGGACCAACTCGGAATCTCTGGCCGTCATGCTCTCACCGCCTCCAACAAGGAAGGACACCTCGATCGTGAATGGCACCGACCCATCTTGCATGAGGAGCCTGTTGAAGGCTATGGCCCGCTTGAGCCTCTTTGTTATGGCATCCATTGGCAAAATCTTGGCTCTTATGGAGTGCGGTCATGCACAGACAAGTCACAGCCTGCTAGCTCGCGCGGGCTGCGCGGCTTACTCTGGCTCATCATCCGCTTGGGCCCTTGGCACTTTTCCACAGGTTTCTGCGCCTTTTGCTTCGGGATCAGAGGCCGGGCTGAGCCCTCCGCTCTGCGAAAGTGACCATGCTCTTCCGCGTCTTTCTTGCCGGGCCTTGGCCCGAGAAGCTTGTGCCAAGTTCGGACGACACTCCCCGTTCTGAGGACAATGCCCAGACCGTATGTGGTGCCACTTCGACGGCTGGACCTGCAGTCGTATGCTCAAGTCTCTCATATAATGGACCGATATGCTCCTGCTCTCCTTGGAACTTGGACCCAGTGCAGCTGCAACTTTTCTTCAGTTGCCGAGTGCCGAACGAAGGCGAGGCTTCACTTGCAAGGGCCCCGCTGCCTGCGAGCACAAGGACCCTTTTCCCTAAACCCTACCTATAGTCTCCATTGTAGTTCCTTTTTTTGGTTTAACCAAATATATATTAAGGATTTTATAAGGTATCCCCAAAAAGGAACTACAATGGAGACTAGAGGTACACCGTAAATCCTAAACTCACAAGATTATGCTTCAGCTTCCGTGAAATTCAAGGACCGCCTGAGGCCTCAGGTGGACGCTGAGGGGAGTCCCTTGGTTGCAGGACGTTGTACTTTGAGGATCATGGGACTTAGTAACTAGGGTTATAAGTAAGGTAACTATACTTATAACCCCAATTAGGGGACTTATAACCTTACTTACTAAGTCCCATGATCCTCCAAGTGGGTTATGTTGGAGCAGCCCCAAGCCCTGGAAGCCTTCATCACATCTCACGGAAGCCGCCCGAGTCTCTAAGCAGAAGGCAATCTTTGGTCGTCCCTGCCCTCGGTCAAGGCCTGCCAGGGCTGGAGTCGAAATCAAAGACTCAAGACACTGAAGCGGAAGACTGCAACCGCCGAGAGTGGCTTTTCGGTCGCTTCGGCTGCTGTTCTTCCCAGAGGTCCCGTTCACGGGTCCATCTCTGGCCCTCCTCCGACGACTCCCACCACTCCAGCCAGCGCATCTGAAGTGGCGTCAGCCTCCGACGTTGCAGGATGCTTGGGGAAATCACGGATCCTCTGGGACTGTGCTCAACATGGCACAACACAACATGCGTTCTTACATGGATTGGCTTGCCTGACGGCTTTGACAACATCAAGTCAGCACGCCTAGATGCTGCTGGGCGTCTGAGGCTCAGATTGAACGATCTGTGGAGAAGCACATCCGGTCGGCGCAGCATCCGACTGCAATCTCGCCGGCATCCCAGGCCAAGATGCAGGGTCCAATGCCAGGCTCGGCCAAACTTTCTTCACAATTGAGGCCATGTCCTCCGGAAGTGGTGCTCGAAGGCGCAAGGTGCCACGTTCCCGTGTTGGGTGATCCAGATCAAGCGCCCATGCATGCAGCAACTGCCGCCCTCTGGGCAGCGTTAACTCCAACGACTGCTGAAAGGCCTTGTTCTTGCTTGCTGGTGCATAGAGATTGTCATTTGCAACGGGCGCCTCCAAATGGGAGCAGTGCACCCGTATCTGATGAGTTCGACCTGTGAAAAGTTCAGCTGTTACAAGACTAAGCGAGTACTTCTTGCTGAAGGCATGCACGCGGATGACCGTCTTAGCTTGCTTGCCATCTGGAACAACCGCCCAGAGCCGGCCGTTCTTCGGGTGTCGGCCGATGCTCTGCATCACTGTTATATCCCTCCTTTGTGGAGCCCCACCTGGATCGCCCAGCAGCAGAGACACATAGACCTTCTTCCCTAGGGGTGCATGGTACATGAAGTCGGCAGCTCTGAACTGTTGTGCCAGATGAGACTCTGATCTGATACTTTTCGCCATGATCATCACACCTGTCGTACCAGCATCCAGGCGGTGCACGATGCAGCGAGGGATGAAGCTGTCCCATTCATTATGGTTGCCCCTCTCTTCTAACATTTCTGCAGGCATTCTGTCCACCACAGCATGCGCGATGGTGCCTTTCTCCCAAAAGCCCGGTGAGGGGTGGGCTAATACACCAAATGGCTTCGCCACTGCAAGCACCTGATCGTCCTCATGGAGAATTTTCAGATGGATGCTGCGATCGATCTTCAAGACGAGGTTCTTAGGTGGCATGATCTCGCCATCGGGAGAACATGCGGCAAGCTACGGAGCTAACTGTAGTCGGCGCACACCAACAAGGCACAAAAAACGCGAGAGTCCTGCCGATCTCAGAATCGCGTTTGGGAACTCAAACACTCTGGCACCTCCTGGCTCTCCTGCAGCTCTGCCTGGAGCAGGCAAGGCCAACATCCCCAGATCTCTTTCGCCCAACAAAGGTCACTCCGTTTCGAGGCCCCAGACGAAGCGTGGGTGTGCCATGGCCTCAGTAAGCATGAACGGCCCCAGCACTCGATTTGAGCTTGGTCCTGCTTGGTCAAAGTCCCGCACCAAAGCTCCGCCCAGCGATTTTCGGGCGAACCTTTGCAAGCGGGCGATGCCTCTGAAGCTGCCTCTGGGTGGTGTCCGGTGCGCCATGCCGCGCCGGTCTGGGATCAGCGGCTGTGCCAGTTCCAGAAACGTGGAGGTCTTCTCCTTTGAACCAAAGTCGAACAACAAGCCCAGGAAGCATTCGTATTGGTATTATATGGTATTATCGTATTAGCATCAAATGCTCCACGTCGTTCTGGCTGAGGCACACACGTTGTTCCACTCCGGAGCGCTGTAGAACAATCCCAGCTTGGGATTGGGCTCCAGGAGATGTTCCTTCCAGCCGCGTTACGTCGGCCGTCAGGCAAGTGCTTTGCTATTTTCTGTGCGCTCCTGTTCCTTATTTCCAGATTCCCTACATCCAGAGTCTTTCTGCGCCTTTACAGGGTTTTCAAAAAGGGTTGTGTAGATACATGCCCTGTGCACTGCACCCAGCACCCGCAACGTGCAGTCGGCGTCGCTCACAAAGGCTGAGACGCCCTCCATCTGAAAGCACACTCCACCGCTTTTTGCGGACACATGCCTGCCAACAGCATGACGAAGACAAGCACCAGCACCAGCAATCCTTGCCGATCTGGTAGAAGATGCACGGGGGCTGATGATTATGAAGGTACCTCTAGTTCGCAACCCAGGCCCACTCTCCGTCTTCAATGCTGCACAGAAAGATACCCGCACAAATGCAGGCAGTCGCAGGCACCAGCAGTGCCCGAGCCGCCTCGACCGCAAACAGTGAACAGGATTCATGTTGAAGAAGTTCCCGGGGAAGATCTTTGCCACCTTCTCGGGAAGTGGAACAACGCTGGCTCCGGCCCGGCAATGCGGACTGAGAGAGCCTCGCTGTAGCGCTGCATCGCAGGCACATGCGCCGTGCGACCCAGCCATGGCACGGCATACTCCAGGACTAGCCTCATGACTCACCGGCAGCTCGTCTGCTTCCATTCTGTGGAGGCATGCTGAAGCCTACTTGGAGGTACATGGGGAGTTATAAGTGGGGTTATAAGTAAGGTAACTATAGTTATATCCCATATTAAGGGGCTTATAAGCCCACTTATAACTACCCATGAACCTCCAAGTAAGCGCCTAAGCTTGGAGCATGTAGAGAGCGATATGGAGCAGGGCAGGGGCTGAGAGGGTGACCACGGCCGCAAACTTTGTTGTGGGTCGAACCTCACAGCCAAGTCCACCCAGCCCATGAGGGAGTTTCCGAATATTAGGGGCACCTTATTTTGGGGTCCTTATAAGAAGGATCCTATTATCTAGGTTACTATATTAGGGTCCCCTATTTTCGGAAATCCCCATGAAGCAGGATGTATCAGTGCGTGAGGGTGCATGACTATCATGCCTAAGATGACGGGTCCCTGTGCACTTCGCCACGACGCTGTATTGCAGCAGAAGGATCGCAAGAGATGCAGCATCAGAGCATCCAGACTGATGGGCACCTGTTGATACAAGACCTTTGCCACCTGCTTCCGTCCCGCTCGTTTGCAACGCCACCGCTAAAAATCGTACCTCTGGACTAAGACAGAGAAGCAATAAGCCAGCTGTCGCTGTGGCGCTTCTGGGGCCACGACAGCTTGTACCTGGGCTTGGGCTTCCGAACACGAGCCGTCAATCTGACAGCATCTCTACCGAGGACCAGGTAGCAAAAGGCACTGAGTGAACTTTGAGTTGAGAAGGACTTTACATGCTCTGCAGACCTGGAGACCTGGACTTCCTCCCTGCATAAACCTAGGACCTAGAAGCACGTTGGCTCGCGAGGTGCCTGGTACAGCTGGAACATCACGCAGGCCGCCAGACCTCAGTGGACGCTGTGGACGCTGTGCGATATTGTTCGCATGCAAAGGTGCCCAGCTAGGCGAGGAAGTTGAGGCTTTTGGCGTGCCCTATCTGATGCTAACTTCGCAGCTTGTAAGCTCCAGGCTTGCCCCGGGCACTGCCAGAAGCCGCTGCGCCACCTCTTCACGGCAAGCCGACGCAGCTGGCGCGCGGCACATGCACATGACTGGAGTTCAGCTTGCCGGCTCCCTTTCGATAGCTTCTGGAGCAGCTGCCGCGCCTTTTCTCCACGCTCTTCATCGGTTTAGGGTTTAGGGTTTAGGGTTTAGGGTTTCAACTATGAAAACTTATGCTTGGCTTGCAAGGAGATTGCATCAAACTCCGTGTCCGGAGCACATCGAAGCTCCTTGGACCTTTGCGGTGGCCGAAAGGCTGACCCCTCTTCGGGCAGCGTCGAAAGCAAAGCCAACGCACCCTGCATCTTTGAAACGAGCCCCTCATCCATGGGAATGTGTGAAAATGGTGAAGACGCCGAAGCCGAGGTGGACGGGGTGGACGAGGGTGCAGCAGGTGCTGGCGGAGCTGGTGGAACTGGACCAGAACCCGGGTCCGGTAGCTCTCCCAGGATCGCTGCCACTGCATCAAGATGCTCTGGCTGAAGGCCCTTCTCGCCATCAACCTGAACTACATGTCCTTGTAGTCGCGGGGCCGAAGCAAACCCCAGCAAGTCACGGGTGTCCAGCACTGCCCACGAAGCGACTTCTCCGCGATGGCTGTTTAGCCACTGTAGGATTTCCAGATCCCTCCGCGACGCATCTGCATTGAAAGGGGTGCAGTCGACATCCGGCCTGGAGAGGCCGCCGTCGAAGACCCCAAAGTTGCTCAGGACTTCGACGACATACGCCCCATGCTTTCTCCAGGCAGTCGTGAGCACGAGATGGGCTCCCGTGCGCTGAAGAAGGCGGCGCAGAAAGACGCATTGAGACGCCTGTACGGTAAGGAGCCGTGGGTCTGGCCGAGGAGCCAGGACGCCCTCGATGTCCACGAAGAGCACACGTAGGTGTGGTGGATTTTTGGGCGGAGACGGCGGCAAATCCTCGTCCTGTTCATTCTCAGGGTCGTCCTCCTCCTCCCCCTCCTCCTCCCCCCGTGCCCCGATGGCGATGCTCGGCATAGCTGTCTCCCTTGCTCTACCGGCGCTCCTTCTACTGTACTCCACTGACAACACGAACACAACCCTTGGTCATATTCATTTATGATTTGTGATTCGTCTGCCCCACACATTCCTTTACAGTCGACCTCGCGTTAGCTCAACCACAAGGCCCTCTTCTCATGAGCTGCTTGACCCAACTGTTCTGGTCTTGGGCTGACACGAGGGCACGCAGCAGGGGCGTTGCAACATGCAGATCATTGCAGCGTCTGCACTCTGCCGCTATGCCCTCCAAATCTTGAAAGCATCTTGCAGCCCCGGGGCCAGCCTTCTCTGTTCGATACGAGGAAAAACGGAATTGTCGCACCTGATTGTGGATGAGGCTGTCAGCACACTCTCACGCAAGAGAGTCGGAGAAGCAGAGCCAGCAACATGCCGCAGCACTCGGTAATGATCCCATGCCTCGGTGCTGATCTGGTGAGACACACATGGCATGCACGAGATCAAAGCGCGAAGCATAGACAAAGAGGTGGCTCAAGAACAAGAAGATGAATGTAGGCCACACATAGCCTGCACTGGACGGGACATCTACTGGGTATTAGCGCATTAAGCCTTAGATTAAAAGCACCACACCATGCTGCATTCTGGCACTCACCTGTCCTTAACCCCGACAGCACTAATCGGTTCGTCGCTGTCAGCCGTGAGGAGCTACAATGCAACAAAACGTCAAGCCGAGGAACATCTGCTTCGAGGCCTAGAACCCTAGCCATCAATCCAATCAACGTGTCTTGCAGCAAAACTAACTAGTCCGAGCCTGGAGAGAAGAAAAGCGACACCGTAGCTTGGGTCATGTTGAGGACCTGCAACCGCACAGCAAATCTCAGCATGACAGGGTCGAGGAGGCCACGACAGTAATACAGGGGCCTGAATAATTAGCATAGGGTTTTGGGGGTATACTATACCATAACTATAATCATAAGGAACCCCCCAAAATAGTATCGGTAATTTTTTAGGCCCCTATATTACAGTATGCCCCAAGCCAAGGCTCAGACCACGTCTGCGTAGCGTGCCATGTCGAAAGTAATCGGCCTCAAAGGACTCAGATAGCAACTGCTCCAGCGAGCCCGCTCTTCGGCGTTGCAACGATGGGTTTAGGGTTTAGGGTTTAGGGCTTAGGGTTTAGGGTTTAGGGCTTTAGGGTTTTAGGGTTTATGGTTTAGAGTTTAGCTTCTGGGATTTTCTGGGCATGGCATCTTGCAGCCATGCAGTCCGGCCACAGGCTGAGCTTGTCGCAGGAGGCAGGCATCTGCGCCTCGTTGACCTCAGGTTGCTGCCACACTGAGGACTGAGGCGATGTTGAAATTTTGTACATGACGAGCATGCCCAGGTCTCCACAGGTTGCTTTTCAGAGACTCCAATACCCTTTAAGTAAGGAATATACCTTAAGTTATAGTAGGATCCCGAATAAGATTTAAGGTATCTTCCTTAATTAAGGGGGTATTGGAGTCTCTGGGTTTCACTCTTGGGCGGAGGCTGATTGGCTGCGATCCCACCAGCTTACTGTACACGTGGTAGGGCAGGATTACCGTGAACCTTGGCATGAACTGCCGTTAAGGCTCGGGTGAGCGTCATTGTTCAACATTGCACACATGGGGGTTTCTGAAAATAGGGGACCCGAATATAGTACCCTAAATAATAGGACCCTTATTATAAGGATCCCAAAATAAGGTACCCCTAATTTTCGGAAACTCCCACATGTTCGTTTCTTGTCAAGTAGACATGCCGGGAAGCACGACAGAGCTTCCTGGGCTTCAGTGACAGGTAATTGAACCCAACAACGGAACGAGACAACGAAGCCTGTGCTCTGCGACTTGAAAACATGCCGCTGGCCCAACCTAACTTAGAAATCCATTCAACTTCAAAGCAAGCCAGCAACAAACAAGGGAGTGCTTCGACATCTATCAATGAAAGGCCTCACGCTCAGAGGTTGCGAACAGTTTCCAACACAGGACTATCAAGAGCTGGCATGAGCCGCCAATTCGCTGTGAAGCTGCATGCATGAACAAGCCGATGCAACTTGCATTAGTAGGGCGAAGATCAAAGCAAACACGCATGCTCAAAGTTCCAATCCCGAAGAACATTCGCGTGCACACATACAGAAGTCTACAATCTTGCTGAAATCGTCGGTTCTCTTGCCTTTTTCGTCAACCGATCTTCCGAGCTGGAGGGAGTGAACGAAGATCGACCGTCAAAGCACACCAGTGGTAGCACGTGGTAGCATCAGTGGTGACCGTGTTCCTTGACTGCACACACCAGGGCGCCAACAAGGCTTCACACCTCAGTCTTACTGCAAGTCAGGACCACGTGAGTACAACCCATTCTCTCAGAGATCCGGGCAAGAAAGGCAGCAGGAAGCAAGAGGGAAAGTTGTAGGCATAAAGGCGTTCGCCCAACTTGGCCTCACTAATCAGTCGCTTCATTCAGGCCTGCTAACAAGAAGGCCGGCTAAGGTCACGTCCCGAAGTGGAAAACTCACTCGCCTCCAGGCACATGACAGGTGGCAGTCCGCAGCGGCTTCGATGGACACGAAGTCTGAGCACCCGGCTCTTCCTGATTTAGGAGGAACGAGCGCCATGTCACCTCGAGGCCTGGACCAGTGCATCTCAAACATGGTGTCGCCATGCGGGCTTAGAGGACCTAGATTCTCCGTCGCTGTGGTCGTCGTGTACCACAGGATCCACATGTCGATGAACATGTTGGACAGCAAAGCCATCCTTGGAACTTTGGCTTTGGCGCAACTACGTGGAGCCGAGCACTTGTAATGTTAGAACGATGCGTGAAACCAAGGCTTACTGCGACACTTGATCCGAATTCTTCTTGCCCAGCCAATCAAGTGTGAGCGGAAACATGCAGGATAGTGGTTCTGCCTTGTTCTGTCGTTCAAGACCATTGGTCTCCTCGAACACGGACCGGCGATCTCAAGATCATGTGGAGGTGCCATCAGAGCACCCCATCCCACACGCTCCCGCAAGCCTGAAATGCTGCGGCATGGTCTGGGGCTACTGCGTGTAAAGACCCGTGTAGGCAGCCAGCTCCTGACTGGCCTCAGAGTGCGGGCTACAAGTCTGGATGATTCCAGATGTATCTTCCGCCTTTACAGTACTGGGATGGAAGAGTGTTCAACGCAGGATTGGTCAGGATAGACGAACCGCCGGAAATTGGGTTTGCGTTCATAGTTCTCCGTGTGCATCGCATTTAAGGAAAGTTCAAGCTTCGCATGCCTAGATGAACAATGAACACTTACATGCCCACCCAGCCTGTTGCTCGAATAGCACGTTGAAGGTCATTGAAGTGAAGCAGTTGCTATCCCCGTGGACAACAGGCAAACTGTTACTAGACTTCCGCGTGCGGCTGCTGCAAGAAAATACCCAGTCGGTGCTCGCACTGGGACCCTCCCGGCAAGACACCAACTAGGAGTGCGGCCACTCCGGAACAAACAAACAATTTGCGCGCGCAATTCAAACAACTTCAAAATTAGATAAAGTAAAAAAGGGTCTTCATTGGGTACAGCAACGATGAGAAACTATGCTGAACTACATCCCTGCCGCCACATCTGACTCTCGGACACAAGATTCAAGCTGCCACCACATGTCCGCTGTCTCAGCTGAGCGTGAGGCGAAACGAAAGCCGATATGCTTGGAGGCTTTGTCACAAAGCACGTACAGGAGCTGGTTGCCGACCTGAAACCACAGACACGTACTGCCTGCAGGAGTGCAGTGCAGTTCCATGCGAAGGTCTTACGATTCCGATGTCATGATTACCCTGCATGCTGACAGACGCACCCGGTCGGAACTGCGCAAGGCTGCGGCCACTACCAGCAGGCTGAAAGTTGTCTCCGATGCAAAGTCGGTCGGCTGGCCTCGGGGTGACACAGCGACCCAGGTGCCTTCCAGGCTCTAAGACTCTGAGAAGTCCCTGGCCCAGCGCAGAGTAAGACCATGCCTCGCAATGCCACAGGCCGAACGCGCTGGGACAGCTGAAGGCCATGAGGCCATGCGACAAAGTGCCTCGTACACCGCGAAGGGAAAATAGAAGAAGACGCCTTCCGCGCGTCCACGATCCATTTCGAGAGTGGCAGCGAGAATCTCTCAGGACGCCGCCCCAAAACAATATTGAGACGGCTATACCCGCGATCGAAGCCATCACTTTGTATGGCACCACCTCAGATGCGGTGCTCGCTGCTGCAAGGCCTCCAGGGCTCCCGGCCCCAGGCCTTGATGTCGCACTGGAAATTCCGGATGGGGTGTCGCCTCGTGGCCCAAAGAGGGCTTCAGCCAGCGAGACATCTCGAAGTCTGAGACCCGATCCCCATGTAAAGGGGCACTTCGGAGTCACTGGAGAAGACCTTCTTGGCATGGTCCTCGAACCAAGACCATCTGTCAGAAGTACATACTAGGCCGAAGGCAAAACGTTCTCGGATCCCGTCCCGATCGATCCTGGCGGGATCGGACACGACAGGGCTTCTCTCCGAGGGCAGAAACAAAAAGCAGGGAGTGCTCTGTGCCGAAGATCGCGTACATAAAACCTCCCACCCATCGGCACAGACGTCTTGTGTCTGCTGCACATACCAATGCCGCAACATATAGTCGCGAGGGCCCTGCTCGTGGACACGGCATCCCTGGCAACAGCAGCAGCCTGCACTTCAAGAGGGCCAGCCGCATCCAACATGCAGGCCGGTCTTGCTTGGGCGCCGGCACGTTCTTCATGCCGCCTGGCCTTGCCGAGTTCCGCATCCTCATGGCTGGATGATGCAAACAATGGCGTCCGTTCTTTCTTGAGACAACGTGTGCCTCGAGTTGCAATGGTGGAGCCTTCACGCACGCGCAAGGTGAGGAGACGACATACTTGGTGTCAAGACTGAGGCAGCAGCCAACAGCTGGTTCAACTTTTCGAAGATGCAGCGGAAATTGCTACGCCCTGTGACGTCATGCTGTAGACTGTAAGCAAAGTAACGTCGAACGTCGGCTTTGCTTGTGCAACAGCCGACCTGAGGAGTTTCCATCATCCATCCTCAACGAAACAAATTCTGAGGGCTCGCCAGACACCGACAGTTTTGATTTTGGGCTCGGGCATTGTGCTGGTGGATTTCATGGGACCACAACTGTCTCGACCCTCCGCAGCACGGGCTGCAAAAAATGCCAAAGGACTCAAGGCGCTGACCCAGCCTTGCCCCATAGCCATGTCTCCCGAGCGATCAAGTCTTGAACCTGGCGATGTCTCTTGTCTCATCGGAGACCCATCCAAAACCCAGGACTTCACCTCGGGGTTGTTGTACGTCCAGCAAACGGAAACTCCGACAGGCTGGCACCTGGCACAAGGATAATAATGAAAAACAAGTAGTATAGTAAAAGCGGAAGTAGCAGTAGCAGCAGCTGTAGCTAGCAGTAGTAGCTGTTGTTGTTCTCGCAATCGTCGTCGTAGTAGCAGTAGCAGTAGCAGTAGCAGTAGCAGTAGCAGTAGGAGCAGTAGCAGTAGCAGTAGCAGTAGCAGTAGCAGTAGGAGCAGTAGCAGTAGTAGTAGCAGTAGCAGTAGCAGTAGCAGTAGCAGTAGCAGTAGCAGTAGTAGTAGTAGTAGCTGGTAGCTAGTAGCTAGTAGCTAGTAGCTAGTGGCTAGTGGCTAGTAGCTAGTAGCTAGTAGCTAGTAGCTAGTAGCTAGTAGCTAGTAGCTAGTAGCTAGTAGCTAGTAGCTAGTAGCTAGTAGTAGCTAGTAGTAGCAGTTTTTGTCACCCACTTGGCTAGTAGTAG